GCTAAACTGTGGGCTTCCTGAGTACAGGGATAACACAATGTTTTAAGTACTATATTTAAGGCTTATGCAAATTGCTATGAGAACATCGAGGAAGTAAAGCCAAACAAACTTTTAGAAACCATTGAAAAATCTGCATGTTCAAAGAATGGCATCGAAAATTAGGAGGCAGTTTACATAAGATAACCAAAAGCGTAACAAATAAAGCATGTAAATAAATAGGAAAACGGTTTGTATTTTTTTATTCGAAAACTATTTTATGACCATGGGCTAAGCCCAGGAAAATCAGTAATAGAATGTAAGAGAAAAATAAGGTAAACTCATGCTTTTGCCTTTAAGATCATTGTAATCATGTGTTATGGACATAGCTACTAAACGTGAATCAATCAGCAAGTGATGTAACATAGCAATTCAGTGCCTACCTCTGTATATAAAAGTTCTAAGAAGAGTGAGATAAATGACCACAGGAATAGAATTCAGCCCTGTTCTCTTGAACGCTTTCCCCATATCCCCCAACATGGACTTTTTTGTTTGTTTCTTTCTTTCTTATTATGGTAAAATACACATAACATAAGATTCCATCTTAACCATTTTTAAGTGCACAGTTCAACCATTCGGTGGTATTATCCTCATTCACAGCATATACAACCATCGCTGCCATCCGTCTCCAGAACTCTTCCATCTTTCCCACCTGAAATTCTATACTCATTAAACAATAACCTGCATTAACCATTTCCCGCAGGCCTTGGAAACCATCATTCAACTTACTGTTTCTCTGACTTTGACTATTCTAAGTACCCTATAAAAGTGGAATCATTCCGTAATTGTCTTTTTGTGGTGTCCTCAAGATTTATCCATGATATAGCACATGTCACAATTTTCTTCCTTTTTAAAGCTGAAGACTATTTCAGTGTGTGTATAGATGCATGCATGTATACACATATATGTCACATTTTGCTTATCTATTCATCTGTTTAAAGACATTTGAGTAGCTTTTTAGCTACTGTAAATAATGCTGCTATAAACATGAATGCACAAATAGACTTTGAGATCCTGTTGTCAAATATTTTGGATATATACCCAGAAGTCCCACCTAGACTATTATAAAAACCTCTTAACTGCAACTGTCTTTACTCTCTTAAATAATTTTATGGTTAAAATTCATGCAATCATTGAAGATAGGATTTTACATTAGGAGTCAAAAAGACCTCTATGTATTAAGAATGATGACTGGCCAAAATGAACAAGATAAAGCTTGATTAAAGGCTTTTTATTAAAATCAAGAAAATAAATCACAAAGAGAGAATGATAGAGAGATATGATTTCAAATTGAAAGCATGTGTTCTATATGTTCGTTTAGGTTAGTTATAAACATCCTAACTGGGAGAAGAGTCTATTCCTCTTGGTTACATTCATCAGTCCATCAACACCTTTTTATTCCATTGTTAGATCAGTTATAGTGGTCTACCCATGTATCTTCATTCCTTCACAAATATAGCATGAGACCTTATGTAATGCCTTGCTGATGTTCAAATTCACTAGGTCTACTATATACCTCTTATCTGGTTACCTTGTAAAAGAAGAAAACAAAGTATTCTTAGGTATTTTAAGAAACTTAGGTATTTTAAGAAAAATACCTAAGGATCATGGCATCGTTTTATCATGTTCTTCAGCCATACTAGAATAATCTCTTTTTGAATATTATCTGAATTAATGTTGAGAGATTTGAGGAGGCTAACTCTAAAAACATATATATATATATATATACATATATATATATATATAATTCCACTTTAAAAAATAAATTTAAGAAAAAATATTCCAAAACATAAAAAAGAAAGAAAATTAAGGAGAAAGAGGATTTTGAATGAAATGCAAATTTTCTTAATAATATATTAAGAGTCATAACATAAGTTAACTTCCAAAAAATTTTATATAGAAAACTATACTTTATGATGTAGTTTGATTTCCATTGTGGTTGAAGTAATGTTTAGAAATGTAGATTGCCTACATCTTGATGAAATGGGAAATGAAGAGAGTATAAATGGTGGAGCAGAGGCAATGAATGGTGCATGTTTTATGAATTCAACAGAAAGAGAATTATCATTCAGTAATTGTCAAATTGCAAAAGTTGACTTCTAATATGTACTTGACAGTCTCTGTACTCTTGTAAAAGAGTAAATGAGCATTACAAACTTTCCCCTCTGTCTCATTCAGAAACAAGTGAGGATATAGATATTTCCAATTGATATTGAAATCCTCTTAAAATATATCTACAGAAGTCAAAGGAATTAAAGAACTGTTAGAAGAGCAAGAAGAATTGGTAGAGATGAGCAAATATTTACATATTAAAATAAGGAAGAAGATGGATTTTGGAAAATGTCGGCTAGAATAGTTACTAATAATCTCTGGCAAACAGAATGATAATAATTTTTAAAATCATATTTGTTTTGAGAATAAATATTTGTGGAATAATTGCCAAATATATGATGGAAATTTGGAGGATGTAATATGAATGCAATATAAATTCTGTTAACAAGGAGAATCTAGACAAACAAAGGAGATAACATACAGGCGTAATTTTATAAAGTAGAACAGTTTCACGAGAAAAGTTTAGAAGAAGTATTATTAGTGTCAAAGTTCAGGATTCTCAAACTCAAATGCCTACTAGGGCCAGCAACAAGTAAGGCAAATGAGTGAAACAAGAGCACATTTAAGTGAAGCAGGTACCACTAAACTCCAGCCAACTTTTGCTATGGTAATGAAGGGCCCAATATTTTCAGAAAATTTTCTTTTTTATTTCTATTTTTTGTTGGTGTTCATGCTACCGGTTTGGAATGTTTGTCTCAGAGGATAAAGAAATGTTCTGTGAAGAGTACTGCAATTTGGACTTCTCATTGTTTGAAATGCAGAGGAAGACACATAGTGATTAAAGAAAAGAACATCCCAGGCAAAGGCAACCCTATCAGTTACAGTAGGCAAATATGAATGTAATGGAAATAAATGAGAAACTATGAAGAGCTTATTTGGGGAAGGGTGTAAGATCTATGATGGGAAGGAGCAGGAAATATGATAATATGAGCATTTAGGAAAGAAGATGAGGATGACTAGTAGTCCACACAGATTCATTAAAAGCAAGTCATGCCACACTTGCTGTATTGCATTTCATAAGGGTGAGAAGTTTGATACTGTGCCAGAAAATATATGAACATTGACGTCCATAAAGTAATCTTGGAGATAAGTTGGTGAAATATCTTTGAGCCTGTTTTGTTCAACACTTTTCACCATGACATTGATGATAACTGAGAAGACATGTTTACTAGGCTTATATTAATAGTGGATACAAACCTGGGAGGAATTGCTAATTGGATAACATATTCAAGCCTAAACAATCTAGAGAGACTGAATGCAAAGTTTGGTCAAAAAACTAATAATATTTATGATCCCAGAAAGTCAATGAAATAAGTAACCGAGAAAGCTACGTTTATTATGAATACTAAGACTCAGAAGTGTTAATTAACATCCTTCAAATCATATAGTATGTGGCAGAAATGGAATATACATCCCAGATCTATCAGGAATCTAAGACTATGCTAGTTCTTACCTATCACAGAGCCACTGAGTATGAAAGTACTATGTATATTTCTCAGGAGAATTTCAGATCATATTTTCTTTGAGTGGAAGATAGAGGTAAATGCCTTTTCAGAGGATAATAAAAGAATCTATGTTTTGTTTTTTACTGATGAAACATTAATGATGATTGAACCTAATACACAGTGTGAAGTGGGTCAAATTTTAGTAAACTCAGTTTCACAAGTGTCAAAAAATGAAATTTTCTTATTCAAGTGTTGTCATTTTCATTTCATAATAAAATCAGAAAATACTTACCTTGCTGATTAAAGGTATGTCAATCTCGGTCACTGAACAAACTGAGATTGTCCTGAGATAAAAGAAAGAATATCTGAACTATTTGTATGTTTTCTTAAAGTGATTACTTTAAAAGGAAAACAAATATTTAAATGTATCTTATGAACTATTTATACATGGATTGCATTAATCACTTGTGCTTCAGCTGGGCACATTGTGCATAATCTCATATCTTAACTTTTTATATATTTTCTTTATGATATTTTAAATAGCAGTTTATAGTTTGATACAGACTTTCTCATTATCACTATAACCATTCTTTATTTTTTTTTGTTCCCCCGAAGAAAGTCATAGCATCTCACTCTTTGATCTATCTTGCAATTAAATTGGCCTGATAGTTAATGGAATTCATCTAACTCATATGATAAGTATATTTTCAAGGAGTTAAAACTTAAAGATCTTTATTATGATTACTTTATTTTACTTTGCAGAAAAAAGGACATATAAAATATTATTCATTTCAAATATCCAATTCAGTAATTTTAAACATAAATCTTCTTTTTCTTAAATTAAAAACAATATATTGACTCCCCTGTTCATTTTGACTCAAAATTTGAAAATCACTGGCATTTGACTGTAATAATAATTTAAAATTTAACAAGCTGATTCCTGCCCAGAAAATGCTTGTTCTAATGCAGAATGCTTGTCTCCTTTAGGTACACCTTGGATGATTTGGACTCTGAAAATCCACGTTACACCCAAGATTCCATTCCCCTATGGTTACTCATCTGGACCACAGACATGTAGGACCTGTCTGAAAAAGACATAGGGATCAAGTGGAACTCAACTGGTGAATCACCCCTTTAATGCAGTGAAGCCTTAGAGGGAAGAGCATGTATTGGTCGTTAGGAAAATGTAGGCTACTGGTAGAAAATGACAGCTCTATTAGTAAGGTCTAAGGTGCGACTCACATAATTGTCCTAATTTTTAAGATTGATGGGGCACATGAAGCATTTCTTTAAGTGGGTGACAGGTCCCAATAAATGCCTAGAGTGTACAGGACTGCATATAGTTTTGGAATATGATTTTTAAAAGAAGGTGGAGATCCCAACTCCCTCTATCATGTCTATATATATATGTGTCTGAGTGTGTGCTTTGGTGCTTTCTGGGAATTTTCTTGCCAGAGAACCTGAGCTGGACAAAGCAACCTTGATCTGAGTGAACTAACTGGCACCATGAAACTATCAGGTGTCTTTCTGCTCCTCTCTCTGGCTCTTTTCTGCTTTTTTTCAGGTAAGTTTTTTCTTAAAATTAAGATCCCATATATATACTGAACTGCAGATGACAAGAGTTGTTGTCCATCATATTTCAAAAATCTAGCAGTTTTGATATAAAAGGCCAATTCTAAGAGATCATCATAATGATAATGATTGTCATGATGAAAATGATGTTGGTAATAATGATAAAAATAGCTGTTATTTGTTGAGCAGATACTATATTCTAAGCATGTACTAAGAAGGGCTTTTATGCATCATTTTCAATACTCATAGTAAAGTATCTGTATCCCTGTTCTACATATAAGGAACTGTGGCACAGAGAAGTTAAGAAATTTGCCAAAGAACTTGCAACTAGTAAGTATAATAGAATTTGGAATTTGAATCCAGATTTTCTAGACATCACAGTTGATGTTTATTTCAGGAACCAGTCTGGAGGATGGATAATTGCATCAAATATTGCTTTTGCTTTGTAAGGCAAAGGGATGCTTTCCTATCCTTAGCTATTATTACAAAGGGACTCAAATAATTGAAATTAAAACAAGGAGAAAAATAGAAACTCAATGAGGAAATCCTTGAAAAGATGTTATTAAACCTTAGAATGCAGAAACATATATGTTTCTGGTGAACTAAATAATCTTAAAGAAGGGGAATATCTTTGGCCACTTTAATGAGATTCAAAGGAAAATCATACTTCAAGGTTATGATTTTTATCACAGGACCATCCAATGAATAGGGCCATTATGTCTATATCTTTCCTTCCTTATTGTTCTACCATATCAGGTTAGAGTAGATAAACCATACCCTAGAGTCTCTTGGCCCAAGACCCAGTTCCATCTCTTTCACTACTGACTTGTGTCAACTGGAGAAATACCTCAATTCTCTGAGATATTTTCTCATTTGTAAAATGCTAAAAATCAGACTAAGCCCTGGGACTTTCCATGTCTGATCTATCATTTTCTGTGACAATCACAGATAACTTTTGCTTCTATTAAAGATTTTAAATGACTAAAATATACATGTAAAAGCAAATTTTCAATGGGATTTAGCTGATGAACAAGCCATTATTCACTGCAACTAGTCATATTTACAAAAACAAATACACTTAGAAATATGAAAATAAATGGATAAAAGATTCTTATGATATTCTGGAGTCAACTTGACTATTAAAGCCACATAACCTTCAAGGGTATTTTAATCACTAGCTAAGATGGCAGAAAAAAATGGATCTATGTTAACATTTAGTTGCAAAGATAGTCTCAGATATCAATTGCTATCCTCTGTCACTTCTCTTTACAAAGGTGAACTGATCTTTAACAGGAGCTGGTTGACTAGTACAATTAACATACTAAAGCACGGGTACTTCACAGACATGCCAGACAGTATTTGGGAGGACATAGTATGTAAAGATCTTCATGTTGAAACAGAAAAAAAAGGGAATTTCAGTCCTGACATTATCATTTTATAACTATGTGACCTTTCTGGGCTTTATTTTTCTCAGATTAACATAGGGATATAGAAGGACTATCTCCACATGAGAAATTAAATGAGAAAAATGCATGTAAAATGCTTAACAGAGTAGATGAGGCATAGCAAGTACTTAGCAAACATCTATTAATATTATTATAGCCATTATTAAAATTTAATAAAATTAAATTTTGCTAGATTGAACTCAGGATATTAATCCTGTTTCTGCCTTGCCAGTTCCTACATATAAGACATTGGGAAAATCCTTCTTCTTCTGATCATGGTAAAGAACTGACTGGATATTGTAATTTTCCCTGGCCGTAAAAAAAAATCACCGAGAATATTTATACAAATACAAACTCCCCAGGCCCTATCTGGTCTTAAATAATGGAATTTTTAAGTGATTGCTACTTATGAATCAATGAGGTTGGTAATCATTGCTGAAAATGATCAGTAACAGACTTTCAAATTTAAAAAAGACTTGTTCTGGCCGGGCGCTGTGGCTCACGCCTGTAATCCTAGCTCTTGGGAGGCCGAGGCGGGCGGATTGCTCAAGGTCAGGAGTTCAAAACCAGCCTGAGCGAGACCCCGTCTCTACTATAAATAGAAAGAAATTAATTGGCCAACTGATATATATATAAAAAAATTAGCCGGGCATGGTGGCGCATGCCTGTAGTCCCAGCTACTCGGGAGGCTGAGGCAGAAGGATCACTCGAGCCCAGGAGTTTGAGGTTGCTGTGAGCTAGGCTGACGCCACGGCACTCACTCTAGCCTGGGCAACAAAGCGAGACTCTGTCTCAAAAAAAAAAAAAAAAAAAAAAAAAAAAAAAAAAAAAAAAAAAAAAAAAAGACTTGTTCTCCCCTCACCCCTATTAATAGAGCTTCTAAGGAATTTTCAATGGTCCTCACCTAAGTGCTGGCCAGCATGGGATATGGATTGCACTAATTCACACTCGCTCTTGCTGAGGTGGCCTCGGGCTTCCATGCTGTAAGAGGAGTTCCACAGAAATGGCCACCGATCAAAACTTAGCAGCCCATACCAGAACAGGGCTTAGGCTTTTTATTATTTCAGTATTTAAACCACTGAGCTAATTAGTCACAATCTAAAATCCTACATACAAATATTAAGAGGGAAGTAAAGGGAGAGAAACGAGACTGTATACATGGGCTCTTTTTCAGGAATTTAGAGATACGTAGAAGGAGAAAAGAGTTGCAGAAAGGAGAATGAGTCGGTCCTTACCAGTCTATAGTTGGGCCAAGTCTTAAAAGTCCATCAGTTTCCAATGCAAAGAACAAATGACAAACTTAATCCCTTTCCCAGTTGCCTGTAACAAAGGCTTTTGGGAGAAACTGCATGGAATGAACCTTGGAGTGTCAATGTCAGAGAAGGCCTTTCCAGTCCTACTTCTCTAAGGTGAAACCAGAGATGATAAGGTCGTTCCCACAGTGCAATAGTGACTCGGCCAGGACTGTAACATGAATCCCCAGATCTTCATACCGTTTTCTGCCACCCTACTTGAACGACCAACAAATGTTGCCCCCTCATGGTCCATGTCCTTAAATCACCTCTCTAATAAGTGAGGAGGTATAGCATGTAAAAAATGAAACAACACGCTGCGGCTCTTGAGATGGCTAAAATTCCAGGAACTGGGATTAGGGATTTCCTAATTTTGTAAGTACTACTGCTTGCACATTCATAAATTACAGTGTTTGGATTTTGTGCTTTCTTTTTTTTTCCAGGTGTCTTCACTCAAGGAGAACAGGTCAGTGTCTATTTTATATGTTCTTTCAACCTGTGGGGTGCTTGGCTAGGTCTTCACTGGCCAGAACGAGGTTTGTTTATGGGTAATGGAGCAAAAGTAATGAACAGGTAGACCAAATTCAGAAATCAGCAGAAACTACTATTTTTTTTAGCTACAATCTTTCTGTGAGTATGCCATTTTCAGTTTAAAAGAGCCCACACATACATTCTCACATTTTTTTCTAAGTAAATGTAGATAAAAATAGAATGGATCTGAGATAAAATTCATGGTCTATCACTGATTTCATTGTGTGATCATAGGAAGGCAGATTTTCTGAGCTGCAATTTCCACAACTATAAAAAAGGGATAATATTACTTCATAGAATTGCAATTATATTTAAATTAAAATGTGAAAGCATTTAGCAAACTATAAAAGGTTATATATGAATTAGTTATTGATCGGTAATTAATAGTTTCTGAAGGAATTAGGGCAGAGATTATTATTTCCTTTTCAGAAATAACCGAAAGTGTACAGAAAGCTAGCTTAATGTTCTGTATTGAGAATGCACAGACTGGTTCACTCAAATACAATTTAGGGTTAACAATTGGAATGGGCACAAATTATCTTCATTGTTTGGCTTTTATCCCCAAATTAATTCACCAATTTCTATTTGTCTCGTTTTAACTATCAAGTGACAATACGAGTGCTCTTTGTTCTGCCAATCCTGCTCCTGTGTCCACATTAGAACATTAGACTTTTCTAGGTAGTCTTAGCACTAGCTCTTTAGCCTTGGTAAGTCTTGGTATACCCTTGACATCAAAATTGCCAGACATCACTGCCAACTGATTGACAAAGAAGTTGAAAAGTATTTTTCAACCCTAATATATCTACTGTATTATATAAGACCTTTTGTTCCCAACTTCAGCATCTCAGAAATGAGGATGCATCTTACAATTGCTGATGCCTTAAAATTAACTGCCTGTATGTGTGTGTGTACTTGTGTGTTTTGCATATCTAACACCTGCACACATGTATGTTGATATTGTCTTATAAAATTATATTTCTTAAAATTGACTAATGTTTAGGTAAGTATGATAGCATAGTCTATACCTGCACTCCCCAACTCCAGGCTGTGGCCTGGTACCTGTTTGTGGCCTGTTAGGAACCAGGCTGCACATCACTGCCTGAGCTCCACCTACCCCTTCACCTTCATGTATCCCCCCCACCCCACCCACCGTCATCTGTGGAAAATTTGTCTTACACAAATGTGGTCCCTGGTGCCAGAAAGATTGGGGACCACTGGTCTATACCAAACATGAAAATAAACACATAAGGAAAGGACATAAAATGCAGCCACATTTCACATCTCATTAGCTTGTAAAATATGGTGATAAAAATCATTACACATAGCTTTAATAGATAAGGACTTAAATATCAGTTTTCTCATTGACACACAAGTCACTTCCCTTCTTTGGGCCTTGATTTCTTTGGTGTTTTCTGAATTTCATTTAAAATCTACAATTTACTGATTCTATTCCTTCAGAAAGGTCAAAGTCTTCAGGGTCACTTGGTAAGCTTACTAGATATACAGGTATATCCCAGGCACCATGCAAGACATTGAATAATAATCACTGGGGTAGGGGATTTTGAATCTGCCTTCTAAATAATTATCCAGATGACACTTGCACACAATAAAATCTGAACAGTTTTCTCTAGGTAAGAGGAAGCAAGTTGTACTGGGAAGTGGAGACTTTGGAGGCGGACAATGTAGATGAGTCCTTATTCAAATACTTACTTGCTGTGTGATTTGGGGAATGTCTCCTTCCTTCTCATTGCCTTGGATCCAATGATCTCTAAAACCTCCTCCTGCTCTAAATGTCTGAATCATTGTGAACAAAGTCTGCCCTGCCAAAGTTGCTGTCTCTTCTCCACTCATATATAAAGGACAGGGAGGGCACCACCCTTTCAGATGGCACCAAGGCTTCCATTTATTTCTTTTCTGCATGGCTGGAGGAAGGGTGGAAGTTTCAATGCCAGGCAGGAGATGTTAAAACTAATATTAGGAGCATGCCTGGTCAAGTCTGATCCACCCAAGACAAAGGGAAGTAAGATTTTCCTAGCACTCAAGTCATTCTTCTCATGCCAAGAATTCTCTCCATGATAAAATGTGGTGATGGAAGATTACAGGTAGCATTCTAAATTATAGACTTTTAGAAATATCACCTTCTTTCGAAAAGATTACTCAAGCTAAACAAAACACATGTTCCCAGACTTTTGGAATTCATGGCCCAGTAAAATTTTCCTTGTAAATGTAAATGACTAATAGGCTACTGGCTCTTTAATTTACCAAGGAAGTACATTAATTAACATTATATTGTAATAACAATAATTGCAAAATAAAACTACTAGTTACCATCACTAGTGTTTCATTAAATAAAGTGTGGCATAACACCAGAATGTTTGAAAGCCATATTCTCAGAACAAGAATAGTCCTTTGAAGTGAATCAATTTTGCTTTTTGAATCACTCACTACATTGCCTTTGATGTTTTTTATTTTCCTATCAGGCTCTGTATTTGAGAACCATATCCGCAAATTGCTGTTTAGATGCATAGTCTGGATTGGAATTAACAGAACAAGCCTCTCAAAAATAATGATTGGCAATCATTTTCTGTACATTACTTTTTGGGATAGCTAAGGTTGTATTTTAAGATAAAGATGGGTGAATTTTAATATGGTTGGTTAAAACAATGCTCCGTGACTAGAATGAGTTTGGAATTCTTCATTTTTCCTAATTAGTTTGATTTTACTTAAAATTAATATACTTACAGAATATCTAAATACAGTTTAGAGATATTACTCAGCATCTGCAACTTAACTACAAATCAGAAAACTGAAATCTCAGAAGAAGACCTGGCTGGCTTAAGTCTACCAACACCCATATAGCTGTGGTGTCAACAGGACTCCTGACTCTATATTGAATGAGCTCTCCATGGCTCCACACTACCTTTAATTAGCAACAGAAAGCCATTGTGTAGTGCATGTGAAAGAGCTTTGAGGAATACAATTTTCTAAACAGACATAAGGTAATGATTACCATCCTTGCTTTTTAAGCAAAGAATATGATGAAAACAGTAGTTTAAAATAAAATGACTTGTCTCTCCATGCAGGAAAAATTTGAAACTAGGAGGGAAAAGAGGCAGAGAGAGCAGGACTTAGTGTCCTGGTTCAGACAGGAAACGTGGAGGGCTGATGTAGGTAGTACATTTGGAATTGGCAAAAAAGATTTGAGGTAAAGAAACACACAAAAGGTAACATGAGGAGAAAGAAATGGCAACATTTCAATCTGAGGACATATTGGGAAATCTGAAGAACGGTTCTATCATAAAAACTAAAAAAACATGTTAGAATGCAAAAACAGTTTGGAAAGAAAGATAAAGAATTATATTTTGAACATAAACGAGTCAAGTATGAATCAAATTATTGAGCAAAGATGTCTTGTATACTTGTGGCAATTGAGAATTAGAGTTTGAGATATTGATGAAAACTCAAGGAAAAAAGTCTAGAATTTATCAGTACCAACTGGGAAAATACATGTTCTTAGAGAGGAAATCAAGTATATAAAACTATCCTGAAAATGACCATAATACTCAGGAGGAAATAAGAAAAGACAGCAAAAAAGAAGAACTGACATATTACAAAAGTTTCAACACGAGTTTCAAAAAGGCTGGAGTGATTGATCCACCATGGAGCATATGATAAAGAAATCCTGAAAGTTTTATAAATAGCCAATGGGCACACCTGAAAGGCATCATTTTTGAGAGTAGCTTCAGTGGAGTAGAAGGGGAAAAAAAAAAAAAAGCTGGGGGAGGAGGAGCCAAGGGGGGAAAGCGTGAAGAAACTGGTATGGTAAAGAATGGAGGTGATTTAACCACATAGGTAGTGACTTTCAGTAAAGAGAAGAAAGGATGTCATCTTGCACCCAAATCCCTGTGTGTGTGTGTGTGTGTGTGTGTGTGTGTGTGTGTGTGTGTGTGTGTGTGTGTGTGAGAGAGAGAGAGAGAGAGAGAGAGAGAGTGCTTGTGAAAATTGTCACTGGCTTTAATTGTAAACTCAAAATATTTATAATTTTGAGCATTTAGTTGAGTTAATGACAACATAAGCTCAATTTTCCAAGCAAGTTACATGGTTTTGTTGTCACTATTAGCAAACGTGACTAATCTAAATGTCCCGCCCTTCCAAAAATATTCTAGAAGGTGCTGTTCTCTTAAGAACCACGAGGGGTCAGGCTGATACTGAACATTGGCACCCATGCACCTGGAAGGAGTCTGTGGAAACTGGACTATCTAGGGAGATAAACGGAGTTTCTTGTGAAATCCAACACCCAACACCCTTCTAAACAACATTAAAAAAAAAAAAAGGAAAAGTAAATAAATCTCTGCAAAATAGAGTAAGAAATAATGGGATTCAAAAATCTAGAATGTGATATAATTTACATGGCTAGGGCTTATAATAGCAATATCCCACATGGTTCTTGATTTACAAAATGTTTTCAAAGGACTGATCATTACAATGGCCCTAAAAGATAGACATTATCAACTTCCTGTTAAATATGAAGAAAATTAAACTTAGCACAACGAAGCGTTTGCATAATGTAATGCAGCTAATCAGTGAGAGAAGCAAAATTCAAACCCAGGTCAGTCCAATTCTATCTACAGGATAATCCTCCAACATTAGAACAGCACTGGGATATGTCAATCAGATTCATGGGGATTTCTCCTGGGTTGGCCAAATGCCTCATGGAGAAACTTCAAAGGAGAAAAGTTAATCTTCCCTTCACTCCCAGTCTAGACTTGCTTTGATATCTATTGAGAAGCCAATTGTTTGATTCTATTTAAAGGAGTCGGAAACAAAACTATAAGAAGATAAGAGGAAATTCAGGCAGAATAAAGGCATGATATTCAGAAATATTAGTCTGTCTTTCTCAAGTTGTGAGAACTGTGGTCTCTTACTAGTCCCAACTCTGACATTCCCTTGCCTTGCTCTTTGCCCTGCAGAAGGGATTTCTGGGTGACTGTGCAGAGGCATTCCACACCTTCCCAGCCCCTGGGTCCCACAGAGAGTGGCCCACTTCTGCCCCCAGACACCATGCTAAAATTTCTCACACAGTCAGCAAAGAAGGCTCTCTAGATGTAAAGGAAAAAACATTTGGCCAAAAGTTGCTATTTTTGCTACCCAAGCAAAGATCTAGACATAAGAACTTTATTTAAGCCCCTTCACTGAATTTAGTCACTGCCAAGTCTTGGACCATGAAAGGTGGAAGGCTTTTAGAGGTAATCTGGACTCATGGTGTTGACCACTTAATATGAGTTACAGACACCTTTCAGAGCCACAGTTAGGACAGACCTACTGCTTTCTGCACTCCCAATACAGAACTATTTATTTCAAGTATTCCACAGTGACTGTCTATGATTTTTGTATGACCCCATTTCATCCTTTCTAACAACCTTGGGAATCTGGGAATGAGGCACAGCATGTAGTTTTTTTTTTTTTGGTCTGGTCTTTGGTTAAGAAGATTGAAGTGCAGGTCTTGAGCGCTTTGTCTAAGATAACACAACTAGTCAACAGTGGAACCATTTCTATAAAGTGATTCTCAGCTTACTTCAGAGATCACTGAAAGCCACTACAATGTAAAAGTATGAAATGCATCTGTTCTACGCAAGTTTGTTCAGATGCCAGTTGATTGATTCGGTTTTATTTATTGAAATTCTTTGATCTTCCATGCCGCTTTCCAGGGGACAGGGAAAGAGGGTAAGTGAGTTTGGGGAGGGGGTGAGACCTAGAATTCTCGAAGTAAATGCTTTCCCCAGGTGCCACTTCCACATCTGCTTTCTAAGGACAAAAGAGGCTGCATCACAAGATCAGAGGGCCGATTGCCAGGGAGAGGTGTCTTAAGGAAGCATCTCTTTCAAGTAAGAGACTTGCTTGTTTCTTTTTTCTGTTCTTCCTGTCTCTAGAGACACACATCTCTTCAATTGAAATGCCATTTGCTCAGCTTCTACACTGCCTGCGCTTGCTTACTGTGACTTCCATCACACATGATACTGTACTTATCTGCGTTCTTCTCTGCTTCCCTAATGTGGATAAGATGCTGAGCTTATTGGGACAGAGCTCATAACAAATTCCTCTTTGTATGACTAGTACCCAGTACTGTGTCTTCCAGGTATTAGTTACACATTGGGTGCTTGTGAAATAAAAGAAGTATCAATGCTAATGTGGCTCACAGTCCTCTCTTGACTCAAGCACCCTGTTGTAAATATGTACAAGAATAACTTACATATACACATTAGAGTTTGAGAAAAAAAGTGACCTGCAGCTTATAATGTCTTCAAGATTTTCCAAACTTTTTTTCCAATTTTGAAATCTAAAGGAAAGAGTACTATTCCAGAAGTAATACGAGAGGATGAAATTATCTTTCAGGGCAGTGGGGAAAATCGGGGCTATAAGAAACCTAGGTACCTTTTACACAACCAAACCCTAAGAAGAGCTCTGATAAGCACCATACTATCCAACCTCAATAGCATAGCATGACAAATTTCAAAAAAATGTGTATCGTATAGTCTCAGGTATCTTAAACCTGATATATATGGTAATATTTTATACCTAATTGTATGACTCTTTTGCTGAGCATTTTCTCATGCAAACCTTTGGAGAACTTTGTCAGTGTATAATGGTTTGCTGACATTTTAAGCAAGTTATTTCCTTTGTCAATGCTGCACACATTTTCCTAATAAGCTAGTTTTTAAAAATAAATTTCGTTGTGTATATTTAAGGGGTACAATATATATATAAGTAGCAAAACGTTGATGGATGAAGCAAATTAACATATCCATCATCTCCCATAGTTACCCTTTTTTTTAATTGTAAGAGTAGCTAAAATCTACTTATTTAGCAGGAATCCCAAATACAGTACAATTTTATTACCTACAATCCTCATGTTGTACATTAGGCCTAATAAGCTATTTTAATGTAGCTTATATGCTCTGACTATAAGTTCTCATGTGATACATTAGACCTGATAAACTATTTTAATAAAGTCTATATGCTCTGACTATAATATGGTCAAGGGTACATGGTGACTATTCATCTTCCATTCTATCAATGAGGATGTATTGGAAATCAACCATAGTAGATTATTGGAAATGCTGGATCAGCAATTAGAAGGAATGTATTCAAGCATTGGTAAGCCACTTAATTTTCCTGAAGACCAGTATTCTCACCCATCAACTGGTTAATATAATATTGCTCAACATACTTCTGAGGGTATTATTGCTAGGCTCAACTGAGTATAATCTATATGAAAGTAGTTTGAATATTATAAAACAATTGATATTATTTTAATGGAACTAGGATAGAGATACAGCAAATTTTCTTTACCCATATGTAAATGTTTCCTCATTCCAAACAGCTGGTATTTGGAGGGCTTCAGTTTAACCTGCTACATATTACCAGTCCCCTGGAAATCATGGCTTAAATATAACTTGTACACAAATGGTTGACTCAATTGATTTTGCATTGAAAAGAATCTTAAAACTACAGACTACTTCTGAAATATCAGTGTAACTGAAAGGCTTTATTAGTGGCATAGATAGGTTCTATCATTCCTTCTACAGAGCCCATGGTGATAATTATTAATCAACAATGTTCTCAACAATACCAAATACAACCTCAGAATCTTTCTAAACACAGTGGCTTAGGCAGCCATTACTAAATCATTGTAGTAGGCACAAAATTCAAATTCTATAAACAGACTCTCAGACAGAGTGAGTTAATATAAAGACATTACAATTTTGTTTTCAAGAGATAATAAAGAAGAGTTGCATCTACAGGGAAAACTAACAAGCCATCGGGTAATGTCTGGGGGCCCCTTGCGAAGATCATCCATGTTCTTATAGTAATGCAGAAGGAATGCTATTAGAGTACATTAATACAGTTAATAAATCTCACTTAATGACCAAAATTATTCTCCATTGGAACAATTTAATGTTGGAGTAAGAAGTCTTACCTATGTCATTGACAACATCTTTAATTTACTTCTGAGTATAATAATATAATGCATTTCTTATAATTAGTTTCCTGTGTCTCAAAGAAAAAGTCTCCATTCTATTTAATGCATTCTATTTAAGCAGATATGGAGAACTATTTTCTGTTTCAGGATGCTTTATGTCATGAGTACACACATACGGCATTTAAAGGTTGCCATCCAAAGCTTAGGTTCTGAGGGACAGTCCCTTAGACAAAATGCAATGATGTCAATGTCACTGTGCTTACTTTGGTAGATTGACTGTGGTGAGTTCCGAGACCCCAAGGTCTACTGCACTCGGGAATCTAACCCCCACTGTGGCTCTGACGGGCAGACATATGGCAATAAATGTGCCTTCTGTAAGGCGGCAGTGTAAGTATTATGCTCATCAAACCTGTCCCTTGCAAGCACAAGCTTCCGGAATAAGACTAATACACCTTCCTGGAAGCATTCTAGAAATGCCTTCCCATACTTCCCCATAGAGACTGAAGAAATAAGGTTCGGGTCAATAGAACGAAAACAAATGGGTGAAAGCAACAACAACAAAAATGACTTAATACATTATCTGAAAACATAATAGCCTTATTTTGTTAATGTTAATTGATTCATCTTAGCATATCAAAAACGTATACATCTTATACATAGTAAAACTTTACTGTTATCTTTGATAATTTCAATAAATTTTCTTTTTTGTTTCTAATTAAAAATTTCAATTTCAACAGCAATATATAATGGACACACGTTTACATTTATATAAAACATATCTGACTAATTAATACCAAACTTTTCTCAGGAGAAGGTCAGTGGGATGTGAATTAATGGACACATATTACTGACAGGGCCTGAAGGTGTGGCCTGCTATACAATGGCAAATGCCTGAATATTTCGTTTAACTTCTTAACATCTTCTGTTAGGATAGAACTACAACACTATAGTCACTGCCATTATTTCTCCTGTCATTTTTACCCTTTCCAACTGCATATATATTGACTCTGGGAGAATAAGCTATTGATACCAAAAAGTATAAGGCGTATCAAAACTCTGGGATTTATTTAAGATTCATGCTGTGTCCACAGTTAGGCCAGATGTCACCTCTGAGTGCATTTAATTAACCTCTACTAAGTCATAGGCATGGATATCTACAGAATAAAATGATTCCATAGACCATGACATAGGTAGATCTGTGACCAATTGCTGGGTGGGTACTTACGATATTGCTCTGAGCATGTATTTGTCTTTCTTTTTTATAGGAAAAGTGGAGGAAAGATTAACCTAAAGCATCCTGGAAAATGCTGAACGAGAGCCAATGTTTTGTGCTGGCTCACCAGTGTTCTCATCCTTTCTTTTTTCTGCTTATGCTTTTCTCTAGAAAATCCCTTGAGTGTACAATGGCACACTTTCTACTCTGCCTGGTCTTGAGGAGTTTAATGCATATTTCTTTCCCTGGATTCACTTGTTAATAAAGTAACTTCTGCAGAACATTGATTGTGTTTTTACTTTGAGATGAAGAAAACACACAGATACAATGTGGAATAATTGGATTGAGAAACTGATTGTTTTCCCAATCTAAATCAACCATCCAGTCACCATGGAATCTTAGGGAAATTCCTTCTTTTCTCTTATTCTTGGAATCTCCATGTGGAGAATAAAGGATTCTGACAACATAACCACATGCTACAGTTATTTTAAAATATCTGTTATTTAAGTATTAGATTGCATTGGTTCTTCTTAATTTCAGAAAAGGTATATTGTATTAAAGTAAAACATTCATACTCTGGTTTCTCTTCAAAATGAATAAATCTTTTGCCTTTCACCGAAAAAAAAAAAAGTAAAACATTCATCTTCTATGGACCATAGTTTTGTCATCTATCTGGAAGGGTAAATTTGCACTAAATAATACCTAAAGACATACAAAATTTGGCTTCTCAGTAACATTATAGCATCTATAAGATACAAAGAGGTAAATTAATATTCAATAAATGGTGATTATTCAATAAATAGCGAATAGATACAAAATATCTAAAAGCATGTACATTAAAGAATGTAGTTAATTTTGAGCTTGATCTTGGAATGAGAGAACTGGATGAAATATAAGAAATTCTAAGGTCTAGAGAAAGTTTCATTAGTTAGTTTCTGAAGAAAATAGCTTTAGGTAAGAGAAGACTGAGGTTATTATTTTTATTTTTTATTTATTTATTTTTTTTATTTTAGTATATTATAGAGGTACAATTGTTTAGGTTACATATATTGCCTTTGCCCTGCCCTAGTCAGAGCTTCAAGCATGTCCATCCCCCAAATACAGTTCTTTATATGGCAATCTCAGTCTCCATGTAGGTGGCTCAATCCTATGAAGATACACAGTTGGCTAATTAAATATCCCATTCTGCACAGTCCAAATGGAAGTCTTGGAAACTTCCTTTGAGTACTTTCATGTAGTAGAGCATGATTTTACAGATAACATCTTCATGGGGAAACTCAGACAAAAGACATCTCCAGATGCAATGTAATAACCATCGTCCCAGCAGCAAACATTTGCCAGGTGCCTACTCTGACTCTATTCCGGGTTCCTGGGATACGGCTCTGGGTGGGGATAAAATGGGCCAGTGATCCTTCAGTACTTAATGAGACTTACATTCCAGCAAAAAGACATATACTAAAACAATATTTATATAGTAAATAAGTAAATATTATAATAAGGTGGAAGGTGATAAAGGTTATAAGAAAAGATTAAGCATAATATGCTAATGTAAGTGAGAAATGCTTAGAGAGGAGAGCCAGTCAATTGCGGCACTAAATCAGGTGGTTAGAGTAGTTGTTATCGGGAAGACCTGGAGATGAGGGACTTGGTTAAGCAAATATCTTGGAGAAGAGCAAAGGTAGAAGCAAAAACACAGTCCTTAAGGCTGTGGAGCATGCCTGGTCTGTTCAAGGTTCAGCAAGGAGGTAACTGAGGACTGAGCAAGTGGGCAAATAATAGATAAGGCCAGAAATGAGCCCAAACCGTGAAAGACTATGAAGTTACTGTTAAGAGTTTGGCTTTTACCATAATGCATAAAATGTGTTTCTAACCATAAATATTAAGATTATACTTCTGATTTAAAAATCTCAAATATATTTTATGTACATAGATGTTACCCTTTATGCATATAATTGAATAGGACCAAGCCAAACTGAAAGATGCTTCCAATATCTAGAAAAAGAGCCAGCAAGTAGATTAGGTTATGCTAGGGAAAATATACAAGAATGCTCTTCTATGCTTAAAGAATATTCCCCTTGATGGATAAAAATGACCACATAATATAGAATTTGGGCACATTAATGGTAAGAGGGTGGGTCTTCAAGGACCAGAACATGAGTCATGGCTCTAACGTAAGCTATACAACTTTGAACAATTCATTTGGACTTCTTTGTATCATTATTTCTTCATCAAATAAGAATGATAGTATCTACCTCCTCATTTTATGGTGAAGATTAAGGACATGATATATGTAAAGCACTTAAACAGTCTCTGATACATGATAAAAGCTAAAAAAATCAGTAGCATTTATCATCTGTCATCAATTTCAGCACTATACTGTGTTTACTAATCAGGATATTTTTGTTCTATTTTTTTAGCATATATAAATAGTTCCCCCTGCCAAGCACAGTTTTTAAAATGTCTGTCTTCTTTTTGTTTACCTTTTTTGGAAATCCTCACCTCAACTGCTAAATTCCCCTGTCCTCTTGGTGTCTGCAGACTAAATTCTCTGCTCATTAGGAAAATTAAACCCTTTTCTCTCCTTGAGTTTCTATTCCCTAAAAGAATTTGTCTACTTCTAATGCAAACATGTAGAACGTTATGTGTAGTTTAATAACAGAATCACTGTGCATCTTTGAAAGTATTTCCTTCTCCTCTCTCTTACTGGGTCCCTCCCCTCCAGCCGGGCCAGATTCCTGTCAGCTGTCCCCAACACAAAAGTTTCATTGTCACCACTCTCTGCTTTTTCTGCCTAAACACCTCTTGTGCCATCTTCTGCTTGCACCACCTAACCCTTCCTCCTTCACACAAATATCTTGTCTGCATCTTCATTCTACCATTTATTTCATGGCTTATTTCAGGGGCTATATCTGAAAATTGTTGTAATACCGTCTCTTGTCTAATTCTGGGCTCTTCTTTGAAAATTAAAGGAAAACAACATAAAAATAAACCACAGAGGACCAGGAGTCTTACATTTTTTAGAAGAGACAAGTTACATACAACTCTCCTCCAAAACCAAGCCACAATATAAGGATTTGGGTTCCAGAGATGTACATATTTGTCAAACCTCAGCAAATACATAATATTTGTGCATATCATAGTTTGCAAATTTTCCATCAAGAGAGACATTTACTGAAGTCTTAACTATGAAATGCACAGCGAAGTTCTATTAATAGAAAGAAGGGTACTGATGTCTGCAACTTACTATGAATTGCAATTGCATCAAAGATGAATTAAAAGATAGATGGACAGATATGTGATAACATATATACAGAATGTTAAAATAAGTGGAAATAGTAGAATGATGGTTACTGGGGCTGGGGATGAGAGGAATTGGGAAATGTAGGTTAAAGGGTACAAATTTGCATTAGGTAGGATGAATAAGTCTAGAGATGTAATGCATAGTGTAGTGTAAAACCTCAAGACTTGAGTTGATAATTTTTTATTATATACTGAAAATTTGCTAAGAGAATAGATTTTAGATGCTCTTACACACACATACACATGGTAGCCATGAAAGGTGATAAATATGTCATTTTGTTTGAACATAGCAATCAATTCACTCTGTGTGTGTATATATATACATAAACATGTTGTACACTTTACAAATATATATAAATTATACACAATAAAAATAAATTTAAAAAATTGGTGAAATATTAATGGTGCAATCTAGGTTTATAGGTGTTCACTGTAAAATTATTTTAACATTGCTATATGTTTGAAAATTTTTGTTAGAAATGCTTTTAAAAATGTCAAAACATACATAGGCTGTGCCAAAAGGGTCAGGTGTTCACAATTCTTTTTATGACCCTTATTATTGTGATTTCCAGGACAGAGCACTCTGTTTCAAATATGGTTTGTACTCCTTGCTCCAAAGCATAAAAAAGATAATTTATTTGATCTGAACACCCATATCAGTAATTATATCTTTGGAAGACAATGGGGAACATAGTTGAAACTGGGTCATAACAAATTGGTAACATTAACCATCCTCAGGCATTTTTATTCTCCCACTCCAATTGTTATCAGATTTTCAGTATATAATTATCAACTATAGTCCTAATACTGTACACTACACAATGTATTACATCTCCTAGACTTATTCATCCATCTTTATTATATCTTTCTTAGCTTTTCTCCTTTTACTGGGTTTTGAAGGTAAGTTCATGAAAAAAAATGATATGGCATGTCAATAATTAGGCTTGGGTAAAGGGGGGTTGCTATCTGTCTCTGACAATGTGAAGGCTTCTTGAAGTGAAATACACACATACATTCACACATACACTAAAGTAAAAAGGGTAAAACATGAAAAAGGGCTAGAGAAAAAAATACTAAGACTGAAAGAACTCATTACCAATAATATCAACTAACTTATTTACTGAGTATAGCACACATATATTATCACATTTAAATTTAGCAATAGCTATGAAGTTGTAGGCCCATTTTATAAAAGAGGAGCCTAAAGTATAGAGATTTAAATGATTTGTTTATGATCATATAGTCAATGAGTTGCAGAGTCTGATTTTAAACTCGGGATAGTTAACATTAATCCTATATTCCCAACCTATAAAGTGCATAACCATAGTGACTTGAGTGACTTGGATATAAGTGTTGAATTGGAGGAATTAGTCATGTATTTGAGGACATTAGAAATAGAGGTATTCATAATTCCACAAAGCTTTAAGCAACTATGTGAAGAGGGTGACATGTACTGCCATCACTTCCAATATGTATATTAGAATGTAAATTTTGTGATGTGGCTACATTTTAGCCTGAGAAGACCAGGTTTCAAATGGGCTGACTAGCTCTGAACAAGGCATCTCATAAACTGCTTCCTTGTCTTTGTCTTTCTTTTTTCTTCCAGAGCTGTGCCTTTTCAAAATGTTGGTTCATTTCATTTTTGCAGTTTGAATAAATGGAAAAATAAATAGAAGCGATTTCCTCTGCTTTCACTTGAAAATATTCAGATCTAATAAGAAAAGGGTACACTTGCATCGCCCAGTTTAGCTCACTACAATGGCGCTTAAGGTTTGATAAGATAAGCATACTAAAAGAATGCAAATAATAAAGCACAGTTGCATGTCTATTGGGAATCACTGTACATACTTTGGATAGTATTGCCA